CTTATGCAACCTGATCATGCAAATTTAAATTTAAAACGGAATAGATGCAAAAACTGCACAGTTATAATACCACACATATTCATACAATTTATTTATTTAAACATACTTTACTTGAACGTGGCCGGCTTGAGGCAACTATCTGCCTTCTGATCGCAGCAGCAATTGGCATTGTTGCATCTTTACGAATCATCGCTCTACAATTTCGCTCGACTTTAAAATTTCCGTCGGTACAGTTTTATCAGTTTTACAGCATTTTAGTTGTGCTCACTATCATCGTGGCCCAGAAGATTTGATACGAACGATCGTTGAAGTCTGCTGCATAGATTTGCCAAGACTTTTTCATCGTATGTTTTTACATTACGTAAGATTTTTTATTTAACAAATAATTATCAAGGAGAGATTGTGGAATAAGTGGGGGATACCACGATATCTTGTACAGTTTATGCTGCATTCTTGGACTCTGATCATTGAAATTACTTTTAGTTTGCTCAGACGTTAATATGGTAATATATGGCCACTGGACATTAGTGTTTACTGCATCGTAATAACAGTTGCATGTCAGTTTTGTAGCAGATAGTTGTAGCAGACAGTTTTGTAGTAGAGTGTTACAGGTATGTACTTTTTACATAATTTTGAGACGTATGTTTAGTATTAATTTTGTAATTTTATTTTGAAAGCCTTGAATGTGACTTTTAAATGATATAATAATTAGCTCGGCACGATTTGTACTTTTCGACCAATTTTCGACTCGGCTCCGCCTTCCGTTACTCTTCTCATCTCATCATCCCACGCGCAGCTCAAATATCGCAGGGCGATAAAAGGTAAGAACCGTAGCGGATGGCGGAGTTGAATAAAAAATCAGCCAAATCGTGCTAAGAGTCCTGAATTTATTTAATTGAATTAAATATGGTAAGGAAATATGTACATATATCTGACCTGTAAAGTTATATTAAATATATATTTGTGTATCCTTCTTCTACTCTATATAATTGCAACCTTTTTCACTTTTTCATTTTTTTTTATAAATTACGTTTTGTATACTTGAAGAACTTCTATAGCATAATTGATATCACTCTATTATAGCTAATATACACTTATACCGAAATAGTTGTATCAATAATATTTATCTCAATAACAAAACATAAAATTATACGAAATCCTTTCTGACATAAAATTTGTGATGTACAATTATGTGAATATATTTACAAAAATAGATGTAGAAGTTTTGTCTTTTCACTTTTACGTAAAAATGAAAGTAAAAGGAACAATCTACAATGACCAATAAATGTTATCAAGATAATGATTCTGCACAATGTTTAAGAAGTTTCAGCCATCGATCAGAAATCTTAGATAATGCTGATTCTTGACAGTATCTGAACATTCTGAATTTTGTCAACTTATATCTCGAGCAATACTCAATTAAAAGAAATTTCATTATAATATTTTGAAAAGATCTTGATATCAGCTACTGAAATATTAAATTTAAAAAAGTGAGGGTTTTTGTTTAAAATTTTAAAGTTGACTTTGAAAGCTCCTCCATACAGTTGCACTCAAAATCAAATGAATATCGCCGTTTGATGCATTTGTTGAAATCTTACAACTTTCGTACAAAACATTTTTCTCAATAGTTTTGCTCTGGACTAAATTTTAGTATAAACACATAATACAATTGTTTTTACTTCGTTGATGTCACTGCTCTTATCATTTATCACTGGCGCAACATAAACACAAACTTAGAAAAGTTTTCAAATTATAATTTAATTTCATTGCATTCTTTTGACATTTATTTAGGGTGGTATTTATAGTACGTTTTTATTTAAAGACCCTCTTAATTAATATCTTAAGATAATGTCTTAAAACGCACGCTGATAAAACTCTCTGATTAGTTCATAACATTGTGAAACTGTACTTAAGACAGTCTTAAAAATATAAGAATCGCGTATAAATATTAACCTTAAACACTTTCATTATCAATTGCTTACAAAAAAGTACGATTAATGGTTAAATGATGACGTTGCAGACTCTTAAGACGAGATGCAATTTATTTCATTGCATTTTTTTGTTATACATTAAAAACCGTCCATACATTATTAAATACGCATCTAATTAACTCAGTATAGACAAGCATCCGTTGCTACCCAGGTTAGGATGTAGTCAGTCTCACGGCAGTATAATTGTATTATAGTGACAATTCTGCGAAAGAGAGAATATATATATCTAAGACTGATTGTTCTTTAATCTTAAGTAATTAGTATCTCTTCTACAATATGTAACGCAATATTCTTATCTTGATCACAGCTTGCCATTTATAACTGGAAAGTCGCGCAAACTGGTAAAAAGAATCATCGAGAATATAGTTTACGTGCCAGAAATATGGATAAGTTGAAAGAAAATACCGTTGATATGTTACGTTGTGAGTAAAAACACAGTGATAAAATAATGGTGGTGGGATGGGACTTCCGTGCTTATAAACTTTAAACGAATGAAGATAAAAGCTGGATGTTTGTGTTCTTAAACGTATATATCGGTATGTGATATGTACGTATATCGTACGTATATATATCGATATGATGATAATTGCGATAGTGAAATAATAACGCTTTATTACATTCTGTAGCAACTAAAATAAAACAATTATCTTATATAATATTAACAAATTTTGCAATATTAAATATTGTACTAGCACAATTTTATCAATAAACAATAAAAATAGATTATTATAAACAGTTAAAATTATGTAACACTTTTTCTATTAAATATATTAAATATTATTTAATATTTTAAATATATATTTTTCATGTAAACAGATATCGCAATCAAAGTTCTTGCTCTTGCATAAATTTTCATTTAGCTTGAACAAATAATGGTAACGCAGATACATATGTCATAAATATACATCTCAAACAGCACATAATATTTATAAAAAATTTATAAAAATTTGTAAATATTTATAAAACTTAATTTAAATATTTTATAAATATTTTGGTGATTTTATAAATTTAAAACATTCCACGTCAAACAGGACATTTTTAAATTATCGTTATTTTTATTTAATTTGTTGACATTCTACAAATAAAAATAAGATACATGTTTTGCAAAAAAAATTTGAGATCTTTTTGTGAAATTATTCACCCTTGTAAGTTGCAGAAATCCATAAAAATGTCGTTCATGCAAACGTCAAATTATTATATTGTAGAAATCATTAGTCGTACAAAAAAAATGCAAGAGATCAATTTTAGAGATCTAAATTGACATCTATTAAGCTGGTCTCTGTAGTACAATCGAACGCAAACTATACATTATTTTACTAATTATTTGCTTTATTCCCGACCTTTTTGTTCCAGCCGATTCGCTAAAATTCATGGCTGTGCTTTATAATCTTCTCTTTATTATCAGTTCTAATAATAAGAGCTGACGTTCAGAAAGAGCACGTCATGCTCTTACTGTGTATGTCGTAGTTTAAATCAGGAACTTGGATAGGTTTTTCCGGTTCGGTTCCGGTTCCGATTTAATAAAATACCAAATAAATATTCCGGTTTCAGTTTTAATTTTTTTCTTTGTCAGTAAAGAAAACGTAAATCGTAAAAATTACGGTTTTTAACAGTTTTTTTTGTTCTATAAAAATATTGCTTCGGCCGGGAGTCGAACCCGGATCTCGCATGGAATGCAATATTTTTCGCAGTAAGTTTATTACAATTTTTAAGATTTGGGAAAAATTTGGGGGGATTTTCAGAATGATTGTGTGAATCCGATAATTTCATCGGCTCTCAATTTATTTCTGAAAAATTAATTCAATTTAAATGAATGTTAGTTCATTATCTTAACACTCGGAACTGTAAGGCGCTTCGTATTTAAAGTTTGAATATTTAAAAACAAGTTCCATTTCCAAAAATATT